TCTCAGCTTTTCCAGAGTGCCTTTGGACTTCTACTTCTTTCTCCATAATTTCTGGAATAGCTGACTGTTCCGGAATTTCTGCTGACTTTTCCAGAATCTCAAGTTGTGTCTGATTGGAGATCTCACAAGGAGTTGTGAGGATCTCGAGCACTTGAGATTGGATCAGTCGCTGAAATTCTTCTTCTTCAGTTGCTTCCTGGTTCTGCTCTTGTGGGGGAGAGGCTGCCTTCTCTTGAACAGTTTCAGTCAGAACCATTTCGAACGCAGGTGAGGTTTCCGTAAAGATAGGGAAATCCTCAGCTGTTGTTTCCAAAACAGCTATTTCTTCAGAAGTGGGAGCCATTTGATCTTCTGTGGCTTTTGAGAAGACTGGCTTGTAGACTGCAGTATCTTCATCATCTGCTTCAAAGTCTGAAATTGGTGTAGTGGCCAAGTGTTCCAGATGCAGATCCTTATTGTTCCTTTGCCATACCCAGTAGTCATCCAAGATGTCTTCACAGCAGTGGTTGACTGGTAGTCCTAGGCATTTCTTGATAATCTTTTCATTCTTCAGCTGTTGGTCCCAATCCAATAGTTGCTCTTCTGAATTTCCAACTTTCCAAGCTCTCCAATTATAGTAGAGCTGCCAGAATTTGTTGTCAGCATCATCTGTATGAGGCTGAGATGAGGTTGGAAGGCTTTGGACTGGAGGGATTTCTTCTTCAAATTGTTGAGGGCTCTGGTTTTGAATAGAGGTTTCCTCAGCAGTTTCCGTCTCCTTCAACTCATCCGAATCGACATCTTTGGATGTTGATGAAGAGTTGATCTTTCTCTTCTTCTTCCTTTGAAGTTCTCCATGGTCAGAGACTTCTTCTTCTTCTTCCAAACATACCAAGGCAAGATTCTGTGGTGCTTCAGTGGAGGGAGAGGGGGACACCACTTGCTTTCTTTTGGCAGTCTTTGCCATATGGATGAGTAGGACATTATCTGATGAGCTATCTTCTGCAGTGGTACTGGCACTGGCTCCGTTTTCTCCTTTGGAGGATAAGTAGTATAGCCAGTATCTTTCTCCATACTTCTTTCCTTTAGAAGCAATACCCATAGACTCCAAGATATGTCCAAGGTATAGTCCTTGACAAAGATATTTCTGGTTGGGCTTTCCCAGATGCTTTGAGATGGAATTGAAAAAGTGTGGAGCCCAGTTTACCTTAGTTTTGGTAATGAGAGCGTTGATGATGAAGGCTCTCTCCTGGGTGATGTCATCGTCATGACCTCCACTCCCACATTCGAGGCAGGCGATGACCAGTTCCAGAATCAATTTGTAATCGTTGTTCAGATCTGCTTTCTTTGCTGGGCCGGAAGGAGTTCGCCCAGAAATTCCAATGATGTTCCAGTCCATATTTTTGACTGGAAATTTCCCAACTTCAACCCCAGAATTGGGAAGGCGAAGCTTTCTTCCCAATTTCTTCTGCGAAAGCTTCACCTTTGAGCCTCCAACAGTGGACTTGATGACTGGAAATGTCCTCTGTGGATTTTTCTTTGACTGAGCAGATTTGATTTCTCCATTTCTGTAGAATTCAAGAACTTCTTCCTCGAATTTGAGGCGAATCTCCATTTGAAGAAATTCGAAGAGTTCTTGAGCGGCTATCATCTGCAGATAGTTTTGGAAGAATGTTGGAGATGAGCACTTGGCTTCTAACTTCTGAAAGTGGACATTTGCACCGACAACCTTCATTTTCTCATAAATTTGGGTGAAAATTTGAGAAATAAAGGCTTAGGGTTCTTGCAGATTTTTGAGAATTTTTCGCGAAGAAGATGACAAAGAATTTTTGAGTGGGCGGTTGATATCTGAATAGTGGCGATTGGGATTTAATGTGGGCGATTTATGCGGTTAGTGGCGATACTGTTCCCAAGGTCACGTTCCCACCCATCATTTTGACAGACGTGGAAAGTGAACTGCCACGTGCACTACATTCAGTCTAATTGAATTAGACCAATTTTGTGAAGCAAATCGGAAAACTTGGCTTCACTTAGTGGTTTGGTGAAGATATCCGCCAGTTGTTCTTCAGTTGAGATATACTCAATTTTGATATCTTTCTTTTCCACATGATCTCTGATGAAGTGATGCTTGACATCAATGTGCTTAGTGCGAGAATGATGCACTGGGTTTTGAGAGATGGCTATGGCACTTTGATTGTCACAAAAGATTGTTACTTCCTTTGTTTTGACTCCATAGTCCAGTA